AGGATGGACAGTTTTGACACTGGAGGAAGAAAGGGAGAATAGAGATTTCCTAAAGTGGAGATTAAACAATGTAGTTGTACAGTCAAGATGTGCATTTCCATGTCCAAGCCTCTGAGCATACAAAACAGGAACAGAGGCAAGGGGGAAATGTAATTGATAAGATGGACAAGAGTCATCGGGGATGAAGGAGGAAGAAGAGAAAATCCCATATAATCTAGTGTTGGATTGAATCCTGCAGTCTTTGCACAGTCCTTCTCTAGAGACGGTCCCATTGTAGTTGATGGGAGCTTTGCTGGAACAAGGACTGCAGAATTTGGTCTCTAAAAATCAGAGATGGAAAAAACTTTGCTCAGTTGTTTGGCCAATGCAAAGTTGCTCCCTACATCTGTCTGATTGGCTTAGGGAGCTACAGAATCAGGATGGAAATGCCTGGACTCTCAGGACTGGCAGGTTCAAATCCTGACTAGACTGTCTCAGGCCTTCATCCCACCAAAGGCGAAGAGTTGATGTTTGCTCAATGTCCTTGATCCAGATTTGGAATGGGTTTGAATTGGGCTTTGGGTTGTTACAATGATTTATTAATATTGCTAGTGACAGTGCTCTCAGTGTACCCTGGGCTTTGTAAGCAGACAAGAAAGTCCCTTTCCAAAGGAGCTCGCAATCTCAGGACAAACTTACATTCAGATACATTTAGGGAGAGTACAAGATATAAAATGATCTAGGTGGGCTAAATCTCATCTTGGCAAAATGCACTTGAGTGAATATACATGTCAACTAGATTTTTTCATAGACAACATAGCAGCTGTGAGACTGTATGCTGGGAAGGTAGAGCCTTGCAGATGAGTTCAGGCGAAGGGTTTTTCATGCATGGGGGCAATGTGGAAGAAGCAACAGAGATGATTATGCAAGAAGCTGATAAATAGAGTATCAAGATTGTCACCATTAGCAGGGCAGAGGATGTGGAACAAAATGAGGCTTGACAAGGAGGGGGAGCTGAGCTATGTAGGGCTCTGAAAACAGTGGCAAGAAGCTTGAACTGAATGGGGTAGCAGAGAGGAGAACAGAGTTCTAAAGTGTGTGTATGAGAGAAATTATCAGGATGTTTGGCAGGGAAGATGACTTTAGAAGCAGCATTTTGTGCAGATTGGAGGGGGCAATGGAGGGAGATGGTGTGGAATAAAGTGGGAAATTCTGAGAGCATGATGGACAGATTTAGCAGTAGGGTAAGCTGCACACTTTCTAACTGATATGTAGCACTTGTGCATTATTTCATACACCTGGGGCTGCACACTTGCTTGCTCTCCAGTTAAACGGGATAAGGACTAGTTAATATTTAGATCAGACCTCCAAAGAAAGTCTAGGTGTTACAGAAATTGTCACGGCAGAATACCCAATATTCCACCATAGTGATAGAGAATTGTGCTACCTTTGGTATGAGACATAATATTGAGACTCTGTGTTTATTAAAGACCCACAAACTTTTCATAAGAAGAGTGTTAATCCAAGTGCCCTGGGTATTGGGAGAGCTTACATTATGCCTCCCCACCAGCTGAATTTCATGCAGCCTCAGTTGCACAGAGTATTCTTGACTATCTGTTCAAGTCTGCTGCATGATATTGTGGGTGCTGTGAAAAACTATCTAGAGTGGGCTGGATTTCAGTCTGGTGGATGAAGAGAGCCTATAGGAGCAGTTCGTAAAGCACTTTGAGATCATTCAGGATGGAAAAAGAGATTATTATTAACAGCTATAATAACTAAAGATCTGCAGAAGAGGCAAAGCCATCTGTTCTTTGACGCCTTTGTTAACACGGCTTAGCCATCTGAAGATACCATTGACTGATACCAAAGAGACAGTTCCTTACATGGCTTGATTCAAAATTTATTTACAGCAGTGAAATTGAGTGTAGCTCCCTTCACATCAGTGGAAAACTGATGTGAAAAGAGAATCAGAGCCAGTGCATCCAGGAATACAGCATCCCATCTGGTGGGTTTAAAAAACCAGGGACTCTGTGGCCAAACTGCACTGCAGAGCCTTATGAATCCAAAAGGGTGCCTTTCCGAGCAGGATGCTTTCTGTCCAAGATCTTAAGATTCCTGACGAACAGATGGACCCAAGGATAGGGTCCCAGAGCTGTGTCGTCAGGATCTCCCTGGGGCCAGGATGTTTTAAGAGAGGGTCTTTAACTTGCCTTATGACGAGGGAGGGAAATGCAATGAGGGCAGGGGTGGAAACTCACTTGAGTGTGAAAATCCACCCCAGACCGGCTGAGAGCCCCTGGCAGGATCACCTGCTCTCCCATCTTTCTGAGTCATGGCATTTCTGGGTGCAGCTTGCACTGCTGACATTACCCCCACCCCTTGCATCCCACTGCATGTTCCCCAGTGGATATGGCATCTTGTGGCCTGTGTTCATGTCCCCCTTCTTACCCACCTTTGCTTCTCCCACGCATGCCCAGGTATGAGGCTCCTGCATGACATCCTGTGAACATGGTGCTGTTGGTTTCTTTTGCTTGTAACCTGTGCTGGTGGATCCTGATTTGAATAAACTGAGAACGTTTCGCACCTCATTGTGCCTTTGTTCGTGTTATTTATTCTTTTTTTGTCCTTGAATCAAAGAAGCTGAGATTTGCTTAGAGATTTTCCAACTTCCTGTTTTTGATTCTTTGACAAGAAGCACTCCCCCATCCCAGAAGAAAACAGGAAGTGTTGCCTCTCCCTTTAAAGCAACAAGCAGCCAAAACTATACAGATCCAAGAGGAATCCTGTGTGCCCCTTCTTAGGGTTTGAGGGGAGCCCATTTCCACATGGGACCACCTTCAATGTCAGCAGAAAGCCTCTTCCTATCAATCTGGAGCTAATGACATTCAGAACAGAAGTGTCTCTATAAAGAGAGGGGCCTGATTCACTTCTTCCAGCTGTATGCCGGGGCAACTGCATTGATTTCAAAGGCATGACAATGATGCAATAAGCCTGAAGTGATGAATCAGGCCCAAATACCTCAGAACTTGACAGCAATTGCCCTATACCTTCCAGCTTCCACTGGTGGTTGTGCCGGGTCTGGGCTGATTCCTGAAGTACATTGACATAGTCCTTTATTTATAACAATCAAAAAGCCAAATCAGATTTTATAAAACCCCCATAAGATCATCAGAACTGAAGCCGTGCAACACTAAAGCCAATGAGAGACATGGATAAAAACGTAGCCCCAAATAGGAAGAGGAGATAATAATGACTGTGATGATGTCAGGAAATCCCAGATAGCATTAAATTGTCCAATAGAAGTATTTCAAAATAACATGACAAAAGGGGGGAACCAGCTTTCCAGAGAGGGAGGGAAAGGATCTGACCATGGGTCTGGAGTTGAGTCTTTAGCTAATTTACACTTTGCTCTTGCACAGAGATCTCCGGTGGTGCTACCCTATTGGGCTAGTGCAGGACTGGGCTCTGCTGTCAGAGTGATTTGCCCAAGATCAATCTCCCCATTCCTCAGTGAGGGATACAGGCACTTGTTCCTCTCAGGAATGGCATGGGAATTAACGGGTTCATGCTAGCAAAGTACTAAGTAGAGTAGGGTTAACGGGATAAGAAAGGGGCCTGATTATTTTTGTGATTATAACAATAATGTCTAGAGGCCCTAATCAGGGATCAAATCCCCATTGTGCTAGGTGCTGTACATACATCACATGAGAGAGACAATTCCTGCCCCCAGAGAGCTTACGTTCTTTTTTAAGGAAGAAAGCAGAATGATTGCTCCTCCAGGAATCGGCCCAAACACTGCAGTAGCACCACTCTGGGATGTGATGTTTAGGAACAATGAATGGTGAAATTTCCATTCATTTCAGTGAGCCCATAATGGAAGTGCTGCCTGGGGCCTGCTGGCTTGCGCTGTCACGTTTCTCATTCACAGTCTCCCCTTCGAACAATTGCAGGTGACAGTGTCCCTCCACTCGCTTTTGTTGTGTGTTACAAACTGAATTCCTCTCTCCAGGGATAAAACGAGTGATCAGTGGCAAGGTGGACTTACCTGTGAGACAAATGCTGGCTGATTGTCCACTGCTATTCACCAGTGCAAAGGGAGTGCAGAAGAGAAGTGAAATGCTACAGCCACACACCCAGCACACCCGTAAAGTTAGGGGTTGCGGCTTTCTCCTTGGGAGAAAGCTGGTTCCCTGAGAAGTTGACTGTGCCCTGCATTTCCACCTGTGGCATTGCTCATTGAGGCAGTCCCACTGTTCACTAGTGATCCAGCTAATAGAATGTGAGACCCGCTTTGATCATCTTCATTCACCCAGGATGCTCCCCTTGTGTCAGAAGGTCTGTCAACACAGTACACTGTAGTTTAGATCCCATATCAGGGTGGACTATGCTATGGTGCTAAAAACTGCTGTTTAGATGTTTGGCCTTGGACTGGCCCTTGGATTCTTAAGCGCAGGGAGGGAGTTTATGAGCCATCGCTCCAGCCCACGAGGCATTATCTACACTGCAGTTTTTAGTGCTATCGCATGAGCCTGACACAGTAGGTATGGCCTTTAAGAGTGTTTGCTGCAGGTTTCAAAACGCAGTTTAGACTAAGGCCAGGAAGAGCATAGGTTGCCAATGAGACGCTGGCCTTCTTCAGAGGACTAGTCATTTGGCGTATTGGGATACAGCCAGCCAGGGGCTTAAGCCCTAAAACTGGGATTTCAGACATGCCCAAGGCTGGATGTGTTTAGATCTGTAGATGGGGCTGAGCCCCTCACCCTGTAGAACAGATTAGGCTGGCAGTAGTGTGGCCTTCAGGCATAGGGGGGCTGCTGCTGAGGAGATGGGCTGTTCTCTGAAGAAGCTCAAGGCAGAGTGTATAAGATCTTTGGCCCCACAGGAACTTGGGAAAATCTGTCTGCAATTCTGGCTTTCCCGTGCCATTAGCCCTCTAGAACCCTGTTATGGTTTGGAGTGGAGCATTTTTCCTCAGACCCTGCCCCACTTTCCCATGTGCATGTGTTTTCTCTCTTCTGCAGCTCAGCCAGTACCCTCACCTGCGGGAGGAGATGGAGCGAATTGTTACTACACACATTCGTGAGCGGGAAGGCAGGACCAAGGACCAGGTAGGGCTTTGGGGCTTGCCTGAGCGGGGGATGCAGAGGGGAACCTTTAGGGGAACATCCTGAGCCAGAGGTGGGCAACCTGCAGCCCAAGGACCATATGTGCCCATCAGGGTTGTGTGTGTCGCCCGCAAGACATTTTGTTGACCATTGCCCCATGCACAGAGTTGGCAGATTCCTCCAGTTTCCATCCACGTCAGTTTTTTTGGATCAGTATTATGAAAGTGATATGCACGTAAAGCAAGGGCACGTGAGGAGAGGTGTGTGCTGACAGCACACAACATTAACTGTGCTCTCTCTGCATCCAATCAAAGCACCGCTACCATTCAGTCAGCACACCCCGCAAATTCTAAGTGCACAAGCGCAGTTCACAAAACTACTATTCCCAGGAGACCATCTTGGTTACTAGAGTCTTGTGGCCCATTGAGATGAAGGAGAGCCATTCAAGTGGCCCACTCACTAGCCTTGGTTGCCTATTGCTGGTCTGAGCTGTAGGAATACAGATGGGCCTTTGCTGTAAAGTTGAGATCTGGAGCTGAACACCCACAAAGCTCAGGGAGCTGCTGTCTGAGAAGAGCAATAAGGCAACTAAGTTTTGGCTCCTGCTACTTGCCTTTGGGGCAGTGGCACCCATCCTTTGTCTCTCACCCACTTTCTTTGTGTCTTTGTCCCCCAGGTCATGCTTCTGATAGACATTGAGCTGGCATACATGAACACAAACCACGAGGATTTCATTGGCTTTGCCAAGTAAGCACCAGTGCCCTGAACTACTTCTCCTCCTGTCCCCATTCCCTATGACCTTGCTCTGTATGTGCTCTGGCAGGTGGGCTGCAGGACATGGCTGCAAAGCCCCATGGGTGGAGAGTCTGGAGCAGTTTGCCATCCCAGCTTTAAGGGGAGGGTGAAGTGAGGTCTAATGTGCAGGATGGGGGTGAGAGCAGTTTTTGTGGTATCCTGACATACCCCAACTTTATTGTGTCTTGCTTCAGTCCGCCCCAGCCACAAGGCCAACTCACTCTTTAATTGGTTGGAGGGCTATTGTGAGGCACCTCGCCCTCTGGGAGTAGGTGTGTTGCCACCTCATGCCCTTCTGCCAGCCCCAGACTTCTTGGGAAAGAAGGAGTGAAGCTGGGTCTCCCATGTGGCTTCGCAGAGTGAGCACTGAGCTTTCTAGATGTAAATCAAAGAGCAAGTCAACAATGCCATGACTGGCATGCCAACCATGTCATTCCCCACTGAGAGGAGGGATGAGCTGGTGGTTAGAGGGCAGGCCCGAGAGACCATGTTCTGAGTGTTTTACCAAATGCAGAGCAAAACCTGGTCTCTCCCCCTAAGAGATGATGCTGTAATTGAGACCAACAGTACTGTTCAGACAGGTAGGGCCAAACCTGAGCCTACCACAGTCAAAGCTTGTTTTGCAGTTGAAGGTCTAGATTTGTTGCAAAATGCTGCACTGACCAGCAAGTGCTATGATGTCAAAACACTTCAGAGCTCTCTCTCTCTTGCTCCTTTCTTCAGTGTATTAATGTTAAAAGGCTTCATAGAAGACCTGTTTACAGGAGGAGTTTGACAGAGGAGGGGATGGTTGCACGAGAAGAGGGCGGGAGCTACAAATCTAGTGGATGGCATGGGAGAGAGAATGAAGGCCGGAGTAGAGGAAGACTAAAGAGGGGGTGGTCAGCAATTAGTTTAGGACGGGTCGGCTGCTTATTGCCCACCCCTGGTTTAGGAGATGCATAGGGAGCAAAGAGTTGAGTAGGTCAGGCTGAGAGCAAAGATGTAGATGGGGTGGGACTATACAGGGCTTGGAAGTTGAGGGCAAGAAACTTGAATGTGCTGTTGCAGAAGCCTAGAGGGAGCAGGATTCAGGAGGAAAGGGGGAGCTGAATGAACTTTTGAGTGTCTCTCATCCTGTTTGCAGTGCTCAACAGAGGAGTAGCCAGATGAGCAAGAAGAAGGCAGCTGGCAACCAAGTAAGTTCCCTCCTGCTTGAGGTGCTGAGAGGGATGCATAGCTTGCTTGACAGGTGTCAGTCGAGCAAGTGTTGAGCCAGCCACAGCAACACTTCAAAGGCAGAAAGAGAGGCCGATGGGAAGAAAATTAGAGAGACACCTTAGCCCCACAGAAATGTGTGGGCCTAGGGAAACTGGTGGGAAGGATGAAAAAGAAGCATTTATGAAGAATATGGGCTGTCCCCCCATGCAAAGGACCAATGGTTATATATGGAGCTGGCATTGTCCTCAGTGAGACTAGGACTGTGGATGTGTATTAGCTGCTTAAACACAAGGGCCAAATCATGTTTTTTGCAATCTCTGTTGCAAGCCCACTGGCTTTGAGTTGACCCAGAGTAAGTGAGTGGAGGAGCTGGTCTATCAGAATCACATGAAGGAGATTGACAAGCTAGTTACAGGGACTTGAATCATCTGCTCTAGCTGAGGATCAGAGCTCAAAAGAAGAGCGCTGCAGACTTAGTGCAGGGTGGTATGCAGGATGCAAGACTCTAAAAAAGGGGAGACTGGGATCTTTGTGCAGGGAACTGGTGTAGAAACTGTGACACTTCGTATATGATGGCCTAGTCTTCTTCCATTGTCATCATGGCATTGGGTGCTGGGCAGAATCTGGAGCATCTGAGTTTCATCCATTTCTTTAGTTGACTTTGCATTTCCCTGATGGATTCACCATGCTTTACAGCTGGGCCAGCCACACACTAGATAGTTAAATTGTCAAATGGTCCAGTCGAGAGCTGAAAGTGCAGGGGGGATGTTCAGGGATCTAGCCAGATAAGCCACTGCTTTCTGGATAGTGGCAAATGTCAGTGTTAATTCTGCTCACATCCCTGGATGCTCCATTCATTTCTCCTAGCTACACTTGACTCTTCTATACTGGCAAGAGCTGACACATGTTCTTGGATTTGGTGGGTCCTAGCAAGTTTATAGTCCATCAAAAACTGGGTTAAACTATACTCATCGGTTCCCCTGGTTCTAAACTGTCATGCCACAGAGTTTTCTTTCTCAGTCATCTCTGTTGACCATCTGAATGATCTCCCTTGTCTGACAGCCTAAGGGCAATTTGCAGAACCTCTGGGCTCATTTTTTCTGTAACTGGCAAATCCCACCTGAAAGGAAGGCTTTAAAGCCAGCTGCTCAGGGAGTTGTTTTAACACCCATCAGCACTGCTTCGGCTGGGCATCTTTATGATAGAGCCTACTCCTTTAAGAGAATTTTGAATGAAGTGCAAAGTCTTTGCTGCTTATAGTAAGTGCATGGAGCATACATGCTATTGAAAGTCAAAGGAGCAAAGATGACATTCCTGTCCAGAGTTACAGGGAAAAAGACAGTTATCTAGCCTGGAAGGTCTTAGGCAACTGCTACAGAAGGAGGGTTTAGAAGCAGTCTGGCAAATAATGTAGGTGAACAACCTCTTCCTTTCCAACTCCAAATGCTCATTAGGAGTGAATCCTCTTCAAAATATATTGGGCCACTTTTCTCTGAAACACAGTTAGAGCTTCAGAATGGCTAGAAGACTGGCATGCTATTTCTGAAGGACTTCACTCAGTATCCCAGGTGCAGGGAAACCCATCCTCTCTAAAGCACCAGTGAGTACCTTGCCTTTTCCCTGGGGTGTGGGACAGCTCTGGGGGCCAGTCCTATTCTGTTTCATTTGTGGATTTGCCTATAAGTAGCTTGAGCTTTCTTTGGGGCTCCAGGGTCTTTGATGTTTTTGCAGTTGATGTTCTAATTTGGTAACATATTTTGATTAATTTTTGAGGCTCTTTCCTCCTTCCATTTCTCTTTTCCTGGCAATAATCTCTCCTCTCTCTGCTCCTCTCTTCTCTGCTGCTGTTGCTATGGTTCCCCTTTGCAGGATGAGATCCTGGTGAGTAGAAGGCCGCTCAGCAGGCTGTGCTAATGAGCATTAATGGTGCATCTGGGGAGAGCAGGAGCAGGAAAGCACATGGACCATTCCACCTGCTACTGCAGCTGATGTTACATACAGATAAAGTGGGGAACAAAGACGGCATGTTGATATGAATTTATTTAGCTGCCTCTCTAGGGCATGTAAGTGGGTGGACTGGAGATGAAGACCTAGAAATCAGACCTGGGGTTCAGCTTTAGTGCCCTTTTCTGTTAGCAGAGAGACATTGGTCCATTGTGAATTTTAACAATCAGCAGCATGAAAAAGAGGAGTCCACTGACCCCTGCCTACAGATATGGACAATGAATGTACAGATGTAGAAACCATGCAGATGTTTATTACAAAACAGTATTCATTAATGCACAAACACCTATCTGTTCATATACATGTTGTTTTCAACACACACTAATTTTTAACATGCACAAACATACAGTGATGCACATAGGCTACTTCACATGTGCTGTAACACGGATTTATGTATGCATGTACAATAGTGAAGACCTACTATAAAACACATACATATATATATATATATATATATATATATATGTGTGTGTGTGTGTGTGTGTGTTAACATGCTTATATTTAAGCTATTTATATGTACTCACTTTCTACTAACTCACATGTACAGGAATAGACACTGATTTAAAGTTATAAAGTACACTAATCAGTAGTCTCCTAGCTCACTCACAGAATGTCACAATGGGAGTGTATTTCTATAGTTACATCTTTCTGTACTAAAGCTAATGGACATATGTATAGGAACAGTCACACGTGTCACTTATCTCACACAGTTAAAATCAGGGTGTGAATTCCAGATGCATCATTATTCCCAGATGTTCAGTTTGTTTTCCATTTACCTCTCTCTACTTTTCTTCTTGACTTGCCTCCCCTCGAGCTCTGTGAAGCAGTTCCCTTCAGCTCCAAGTGTTGGGAAAACTCCCTATCTCTGCCGGGTTGTGCTTCCTCCTTTGCTCTTTCTAGGCATGGCCTTTTCTGGGTGCGAGTGTTGCTGTGATTTGGTTTCTGTGGGGTGGGTCAGTGCCTGAGATGCTCTCTGCAGTTTTCTCTTCCCCTTGAGTGGTTGGCCAATGGTGTCACCCCCAACACAGCCAGGTTCTCTCCTGTCTCACTGCCACTTCCTGCCTAACCCTTCTCCTGTTTGGAGAGGGGTGCAGGCTTGTTGGTCTCAGTGTTCCAAATTAGAGAGGGGCTTTTTGGCAGGAGCAGAGAGCTGTGCTGGTCTGTGTGTGTAGGACACACTCTGTTCTCTCCCCGTCCATTAGGAGGACGAGGTTCTCAGTGCTGTGTTTAACACTGACAATTTCCATCCCCTCAGGTGATCCGAAAGGGCTGGCTCACTATCAATAACATTGGGATCATGAAGGGCGGCGCCAAGGAATATTGGTTTGTTCTGACAGCCGAGAACCTCTCGTGGTATAAGGACGATGAGGTGAGTGGCCCAGCCTCAGGGCTGGTAGGATTGTAGCTTTGGAACCCAGTTCTCTGTGGTGCTGAGAACCCTCAGCTCCCATTGACTTTCTGTGACTGAGCATTTTGTAAGAGAAGGCTTTCTTTGTGGTGGCTGGGCATTATAAATACACCATCTGTGTATTGATTTCCTGCTTTATGAAGCAGCCCAAACCTCTGGGACCTTCTGTGATCCCACAAACCGGTACCCAACCTCTCCCAGAAAGGGATGCCTGGAGATTGGGAGTCAAACCAGGATGCCATACATCATGTGGGTGGGGTATAAAACTAGGAGACCTTGAATGAAGCATACCCAGATGAAGCCCTGCACATTAATCGGGGTCCGTATGTGTTAGTGGTCCAACAATTGCTGCCCTTCGACCATATACTGCCTTGTGCCTTGTATTTGACTCTTAGTGGGGCCTTGATATTGCTTTAGTTGGAATGAGGATATTTCCTTTGAACTGTGAAAGTCATGGAGTTAATTTGGATGCACCATTCCTGGCACTGAAGAGAAAATCCAGTTGGAGGTGACTTTGCTTGGAGCTCCTGAGTCAGTAAAAAGTGGGCAGGATACTTTTCTTTCTTATTGTGGCAAGCCGACTCACTGGAGGGAGGGGATGGGTTAGCGCTCTGATACCCAGTACTTTGGGGGTATATTCAGCAGTAGCTAAAGGGACTATTTGAATTGTGGCTGAACTTGACTCTCATCTTGCATGTTCACTCGAGAGGTGTGGCCTAGTTGTCTGAGTACAGGACTCAGAGCCAGGAGGTATGGAATTAAAATACCAGCTCAGATACTGACTCCCTCTGTAACCTTGGGTAAGTCACTTTACTTCTGTGTCTGTTTCCTCATTTGCAAAATGGGAATATTAGTACTCTTCCACCTCATCTGTGTATAGGGCAGTTCAATTAATTCATGCTCACAAAGTGCCTTGAATGTGAAAGTGCAGAGTACTGTAATTAACAAACCATAATAATATATGCAGAAAATAAATGAGAAGGTAGCTGCTCTTTAAACCTGTCTTAAAAGAAAATATTCCTGAAAGTTGGGAATCATGGTTTGCCACTGTTTCCTCTTCCACTCAAGCAAGGAGCTAGATGCCAGCTGTCAGAATCATGTCTAAATTGAAGTTATATTTTGTTTATTTATTTATCTGCTATCAACAGTGTGCCAGTCATAAAGGAAGACATCACTGGCCTTTGGGCCTAAAACTCTGAATAATGGGAATGAACAGCAAGAAGGTAATCAGAATGACATGAATTTAAGCTTGAATATCATTCAACATGCCAGGAATAGAAATACTTTGGGGGCTGGCTAAAAATGGATTCAGATTCTATCCATTTTTCCAAGCAATTGTTCCAATTTACTAATGAGGAAGAGAAAGGGTCTTATAGCATGGCTTATATCTGTGCAACATACATGTAGACTGCTATGAGACCAGAATTCTCCACTCAGTTATATCAGTGGGCACGTTTAACACCCACTTTGCACAGTTGAAATGATGACACAAGATGCCAGACATTAGAGAATGAGGGCTGAAATGTCTTTCCCTGCCCAGGAGCTGGTGACTCTTTGGTTATGTCTATACTACAGAAGCACAGGCAGCTATGGTATTACAGCTGTGCAGCCAGAGAGCTGAAGTGTAGACTGCTTTTGTGTCAACAGAAGGGGTTCTTCTGTTGATGTAGTTGATCAGCCTCTAGCTGAGGCCACAGAATGGTTCTATCAACCTAGCTGTGTCTACCATGTGGGCTATGTTGACCTAACCAGTGTTTCTTGTAAGCTGTGCACTTGTTCAGCTACTCAGGAGAGATTCCAATGTTGCTGATTAGCAGAGCACCCACAGCTAGATTTTTTTGTTTCTACTGGTGGTGCACATTCACACTTGCCTCAGTGCACAAATTATTCCACACATAGATGAAAAAATCTATACACAGATGGAAAAAATTAGATGGAACATTGGACCTAACCATATTGCGTAGATCAGACTATTTTTTAAGTGTAGACCAGGCCTAAATTCAGCAGGGGCATGCACCAAACCTGTAATCAGCAAGGAACTAGAATTGATTGTGCAAAGAAGATTTTAAATCAGCCAGTCTTTTGCCAAGGCCCATGAACTCGTGAGACAGCTTCCTGGTGTGGCAATGCTGCCTCGTGGCTACATGTGCAGGTCAGACAGTTATAAGGCTTGAACATTATTTTAAATTAAAAACAGCTTCTGCATTTAGATTCCAACGATGACCGCGTAGCCCCCACCCTTCCACCCCAGCAGGGAGTGGGCAGGCTGTGGTTCCAATGAGTAATCTATATTAATAGACTCCAGATGGATTGGAGAGGAAAGGGGCGTCCCTTTTATCCTATGGGCAGGGAGGGTAACCCTGGGGGTGAATAACAGCTGGAGGTCTGCGCCACTTCCCTTCTGCACTGTGAGAGACAGAGAAGCCTAATTAAGGCAGCTCCCAACCAGCCTGCATCCCTTAAATAAATGCAAGGTGACCCAGTGCTGACAAGGCAGGAGCAGAACAGGAGAAAGGAGCCTTTGTTCTAACTGGTGAAGGGGTGGTGGGGAAGCGGGAATGTGTTTTTATTTCTGATTTTTTTTTCTCCACTCCTGCCCCCTCTCACCAGTTCAATTCCTTGATCTCTGGCCTCTGGGGAAGGAAAGGGAAGCAACTTCCACTTGGATTCCGTGACCAGGTTCAGCTTAAAGTCAGTACATTACCGGGGCAGCTTGAGGAGCCCTTGGCTTTAGAGTTCCCATCCTTACCTTCTGTCCTACACAGGGACAGGGCTGACTGTGGCCACATCTATACTTACTGCACCAGAGATGGATCTTCTGGCATTCGATTTAACAAGTGTCATAAAGACCTGCTAAATTGAACACTGAGGGTGCCCCTGGTCAATGCTGGTACTCCTTGTGAAGGGAAGCCAACAGGAGTGTTTGCTTCCATTGACCTCCCACTGTGAAGACGGCACCAAGCTGGGCTTACAGTATGTCGACTCCAGCTATGTTATTTATGTAACTGGAGCTGCATACCTTAAGCTGACCTTCTGGGTCTAGTATAGAACTGGCCTCAGTCCTCCAGGGCCCTTCTGCTCTGCATAGCAACATGGATGTCTTCATCACCTATGGCCCCCTTCTGCTCCTCATTGAGAGGGGGCTTTTCCAACTCATCACTCCCAAACCAGTCTGGTAGCACCACACATGGCTGTCTCCATATGTCCCAGATCCCCTCTCATCCCCAGAAGGAATACTCTGCCTCCCTGTCCCCCCAATTTGACAGGAGGAATGGTGTCTTCCTGTGTCACCTTGAGTGATTTTAAAGACTGTAGCCTGGGAGTCCACTTTGGTTTTGGACAGACAAAAACCCTGACTTCTTGTGCTCCTGTTGGGCTCTTGCCATAAGTTCCCCGGCACTGTTGAAGACAGCCAAAGGAAATGAGTGTGTTTAATCCTTGCATTGGTAGAAGAGTGGTTGCAGAATTTGTTACATCTAGGGGGAAAACAGGGGATGGGCTGAGGGTGGCAGGACTACACTGGGCTAGGCTAGCACCTCCCAGAAAACTGAGGCGGATGGAATGGAGCTCAGTGCTTCCCTCTCTGGCCCTATTACGGCAGGATTGGACATCAAGTCTGAATAAAGACATCTGGGTCCCATTAGTGAAATACCAGCCTGACCACAATGCTGGTTTGTTTTCTCTCCCTCCCTTCCCCCTCCTGAGAGAGGAATTGGAGCTTAAAAGTGTCTTAAAGGTTCCAGCATCAAGTGTGAGTGAGGACAGGGCTCCTGTTGCTCCTGGGAGGCTGGTAGAGCATGCTGGAGGAAGGGGAAGGGGAAGGGGAGGAGGCAGAAAACTGGCTTCTTGTTATGCCCCGCTGCCAAGAGCCCTTTGTTTGGGTTCCCTCTCCATTTTTCCTCCTGTCTCCTTTGTATGAGTCAAATCCCTGATCCAAGGAGAGCTGCAATATAGATCTGCTGCAGAAAGGGGAGTGAGCCAGATTTGGGGATGCTGCACAGGGAGTCAGCACTTCCTGGGTGCTGCTGGGTTCTGCCTCTAGGACATTTGTGGGAGAGCAAGATGGTGGATTGGATCCAGTGACCATTCTCTAAGATAGAGGGCGATCTCACTAGCACACTGTACCCCTGAGACAGTAGTGGCAGCCATGGTACTGTAGCTGGTTGGTATTGGAGACTCAGTTACCATGGTGATGAGCATGGCATGAGACACTAACCAGACAAGAATAGGTGTCCTTCTGTCTAATCCCCTTCAGAGAGCTACAGCACATAACCCAGCTACACAGGTAGGACCCAGGCTTTTCCTCTAGTTCTCTAGGTGGCAGATGCATTAAGCCCAATATATTATGTGGTCCTACATCCCACTGGAATGGGCCCAGCCATGGGCCCTGCATTTGGTACATGTAAGTCCATTTAAACTGGGATGCATGTGATTACATGCATGTGTCAATGTGTGTCCATGAGAGGTTTGTTGCACACACAGGTGATTACAATCTACTGTGTAGCCCAGACCGTCCATCCTTACTTATGCAGAAGTCTCACTAAGGTTATATCGAATAAGGTCTAAGGAGGGCAGGTGTTGGTTCATACCTGTGTGAGGGCATCAGTGTATTTCCCTAGCTAAAGGCTAGGTGTGCTGGCATGCACGGTGAAATCTGCTCCCAATATCGTCACAAAGATCCCTATTTTATGTGGAAGTAGAATGAGAGTAGCAAATTGTTTCATTGCAGTAAAGGTGCAACTTGTAATTCCAGGATGCTGTTCTGTGTAGACATTAAGGCCAGGTCTACGCTACAATCTGACATCAATATAAGTACATTGCTCAGAATGTAAAAAATCCACACACCCTGAGCAATGCAGTTATACCAACCTAGCCCCCAGTGTGGACAGTGCTAAGTCAATGGGAAAGCTTCTCCCCTCAACATAGCTACCGCCTCTCACAGAAGTGGATTAACTCCCAAC